GCTGCAACAAACCAACATCCTAATTTTCACTAGTATTCTAAAAATCAACTGAAGTTATGTCCAGTTCTTTGTTTGTTGAGTCACACTGCAGTTTGAGAAATTAGTCTTGAGAGATTGTGCTGCAAAACTAACTCTGAAGACAGGGTCCAGCTGTCGATACATAGTGCTTATTTTCATGGACTACAAACAAACAAACAAACAAACAAACAAACAAACAAACAAACAAACACCCTTCTCAAAAAACACTTGTCATTTTGTTGGTTCTATGGAGAGCTAGCAATATACCTCTTCAGGGTTTTAAAAAACAGCTATTTTAACTGAATTAAAATGTCTTAAATACTCTAAGCAGAGACCAAATTTAAAAACAAAATTGTTTTCTAAAAGTAGTACATCAGCTCTGAATGCAACAGAAGGCATCAAGATTATCTAATAAAACATTTAATTTTCTCCAACATGGATTTGGGTTAGCTAGTTATAATTTTGCTATATTTTAATCTATGTTGAAAACAGTTTCTTTTAACCATTTCTAAAATTCTCTAATTTAGAAAAGTTCAATAGATTTTTACCCATATTTTTAGATAAAAGACCATTGGAAATTAACTTGAACACTCTGATTATTTCTGACTATCCACACTACTTAACTGCTAGGATCAAGAAGTGAGCCACTCTGGATCATTCCATGAACACTGACAAGATCTGGGAACTGACTAAAATTGCTCTAGATTTTTTCTATCCATACAAGGGCAGTAGCATTTTTCACAAAAACATGAAGAAAATATTGTCTGTGCACATAATTGCATACACATATTCTAAGATCTAAATTAATTTAAAAAAACTTCCTCATTTTTGAATGTGCAAAGCCAGCTTTGAATAGTAGCAATAACGGAATATACAAAATAGAAATAGCATCTCTCCATAAGATCATCATACTGTATGATAACTGTATGTAGAGAAATACACAATACTAGGTGTGTGAATAGCTTTAATATCTTTCATACCAGTGCAGTTAGTTTGTTGGAATGACAAAATACATTTTTCAAACACCAAGTAGGCAAATTCACACTGCCATGAAAAATAAAATGGCAACACTTACCTTCTAAACTTTTTATACCTGAAGAGCACAACATACTATCAGAATGCAACAAATACTTCATTCACCCTTCTGTAGTAATCAGTTCTAAACCATTCTCATGCAAGATTAATTATTTGTGTGCCCATCCATCCTAAACTTCAGTATGAACTGCAAATTTCAGTTTTATTCTGTCAGCATACACTTGTACCTCAGGACTCAAAAGACACTTCCAACACCATGCAGTAGTAAACTCAGCAGCCTAATAAGATGTAATAAAATTAGGGCTAAAACCTTCAGGAGTACTGCCTATTTAAAAACAAAATGTGATAAGCCTGTTGTTTTTAGTATAATAAATTCTACACACACATAATAATAGAAAAATAAAAATTAACTTTGGAAACTCATTTTGTGAGAAGTACCCATTGTCATGCATTCCTTTAAAAATAAAAAATTTTGGGCATATATTTATTGTTCATGAAAACATTTATAAGCAAAAAGATTGTCTGTAAATATCATAGGGAATTAAAACCATTGCTTACTTAAAAGTAGCAGAATCCAGTTTGTAATTTTATTACAATTATGTATTATTTTAAAAATAACGACTTCAGGTATGTGCACATATCTAAATACACACACACGCACATTTTTTATTTTTATGTAAGCAAATTCATCTCTGTCACAGCCATGTAGGGTATTAAAAGAATGGTATTTTTTATTTGTGTTCAATGCATATCAAAGATACACTATCCATTCACAATAAATTCACCTATACAATATTAAATTCACATCAGGCTTTTCTGCTGTATCACTAATCTTGTATATTCTTTTTACTGAATATTCCAACTATGAAATCTTAGAAATACAGTCACTTTAGAAATTTATAGAACATTTAACATGCTGGTCAAAAGTAAAAGATGAAAAGAAACAAAACATTGACACAATCTTAACAAAGTAGAAAGATGAAGACAAGTACTTGTAGGACTCCAAGACAAATTTTCATTTTATATGCAGTGGCAAATTCTTTAAATCTAAAGAATTCTTTATTTCCTCTTTTTATGTTCATGGGATTTGGGGAAAAAAGTGCCCAAAATCACAGTAAGTCCTTATCCATGTGCCCAGAAATACATTCACTGGCAACACAGAGCTGAAAACACTCCTGAGAGATGTTTTCAATTGAATCTAAGAACCATGTATAAAATGTGTTAATTCAAAGTATGTAGAGCATATACATATCAAGTTTCATAACAAAAATGTTTTCACTGAAGAACCTTCTGCTTCAACAGTCTCTTAAGAGAAAAATCATTGGCACCTCAAAAGAAATGCACTAGAAAAATATGATGAACATCAGTGCAGAAACTATATTCACTATAATCTACGGCTTGCCACTAAAATAGTAACAGCATCAGCACGTGTTTGCCCACAAAATTCAGTACAAGATTATAGATCTGACAAACATGCACTACTATACAAGATTTAATACACATTCTTATTTCAGAGTTGATGCACCAAGCTTCAGTTCTGAGACAGCTCACAGAACTAAAACAATTTACTTGATCATAACTCACAGAAGCAGAAACGAACCTATAGATTTTCTTTTAAAATTATGTTCTCTTTTTACCACAAGGACTTGCTACTTGTCTAGAAACCATTCACCCCCTGGCAATACTCAGTCACTAGTATGTGATTGATTACTTCAGCTATTTCTGTATTTGCAGAGGCATAGCATGGCATAATCTCTTTCAAAACTTCCCATATCACTCTGAGTACTATGAAACAACATAAGCAGATGACTCAAATGCATTTAATCAGTTTAAGAATATTAAAAATAGTCATTACAGTACTTTATTCCAATTGGCCAAGAAGTAAAACTGGTGGGACACCAAAGTGAAATGGAATCTGAATATTCCTTAAATCTATTTCATATCTCAAAATCACCACAAATGTTCTTCCCTGCCTCTCAATTTTGGTGCACACTGGAGTCTCCTTTTTTCCCCACTGTAATCTTAAAACTTGGAGTAACCATGTTCTTAAATACATTCACTTTTCTCCTCCCTTGCCCCAGTAACTGTGCCTTTGTAACCACCTTATTCCTTTGCATTTGTACAAATCCTTTCCCACAGACCTATTTTTACTCAAATTTCAAGTAAGTATCATGACTGCAGCAAAAGTCCATAAGCAAAACTCTCCACTTCCTGTAACAAGAAGCAGCACATTGACTTGTTTTAAGTACAGAGAAAGTATTGGTCAGGCAAGTGGGGCAATTCTAGTAGCTGCTTCCAGCTGTATTTCATCAGCTATCCTTAGGATCATCAAATTAAATTTTCAACTCTGAAATATTATGTGAGGTTGCATATTTATGTTTTAAAACACATCAAGCACACAAAAATACAGTAAGTGTTCAGGGGTGATGAATTTCTAGGCACTTAATTTTCATTCTTTTCTAAAGAAATTCTGTAAATTCCTCTGAAGGTCCCATTAGACATCAGTCTGCCATGGCCCAAACCACTTCATGGCAAGGGTTAAATGATACCTTTACAACAATTCCAAGTCTTTCAGAGTAATGAAGATCCATTACATTGTTACCATAAATTGCATTTTAAACAAGACAGATCACCTCAGTTGTACAATACCATACAACAGATTTCAAATATTTCTATACACAACAACAAAGGAGTGACTTTCACAGTCACAGAGAAAATAAACTGCCACTAGGAGAAAGTAAGGGCTGAAAGGTCAGTGCAAAGTTGTCAAGACCAGTAAAGTGCTCAAATAACTACAGTGAGAAAAGACCAGTGGGTGACAAAAGTTTAAGCAAAGGGAAAACAGAGGCTTGTCCTTTCAAAAGGTTTGACTTCAGAAGATTTTTTAATAACATATGCAACACATTTAATTGCTCCCTAACATTTAAAATAATTATATGGACCCTGGGCTGTAAAAGCACAAATATACAACAAATTATAAAAATGAGTTATGTATAGCTATTTAAAGGATTTTTAGTTAAGTAATACCAGATTTCTTAAAAAAGGGAGTAGTTAACTTGGAAGTGGTAAAAGTCTAATAAGTGCTTTTTTTATGTCTCAGACAGTTTTTTGACTGTGGTCATACCTATGTCTATGTCAGTTTACCCACCTGAGTACAGCAAAACAAAATAAGCATTAGTAAACATGTCTTTTAAAGGCATTTCTGACCTCGCAGAAATGCAAAAGGAAAATGCAAAAAATATGAAGAAAGGTTAATAAAACTCCAGTAACTCTAGAGGCACACTTCAACATGCCAAGTTATATATCTGCCATCCCATTTCTGTATTTTTTTTGAAGCAGCTGAGGGCATTGATAACAACTCATCACTTGGAACAACCGCAAAGAAATGACAAAAAAACCTAAACTGTAAATAACTAAGAGATATATAAACAAACCTTTTTCATACCAGAAAGAGTCTGGAAATTTATAGTGGTAGCTGTTTTATATTCATTTGGAATGACAAAGTTTTCTGGAAAAAAATATACTAGTTTGATTTCTGTTTTAACAGAAGTCCCCACATTCAGCTTACCACTTAACGGACAGATCTCAGTGAGATCTGAGTAAAGAGTGTAATTTTCATGGGTTCTGCTGAATCCAATGGAATTCTAGCTGTTACTAGTGGTCACAACAGTCTGAGCACATGAACTAAAACACAGGATCAGAACCTTATATGTAGATTAAAAAATAAAACAACTAACAAAGAATCCATTTGTGCTAGGATTAAACGCTTGTTGCAATTAAACAAAACACTACAATTTCTACTATTCCAAAGTTCATGGCTTTGTTAAGAAATTCTATGAAAATCCCAAAAAAATTTATTGCTGAGGAGGTATGTCTGTGTGACTGAACCTTTCAAACCTTATAAAAAATGCCACTTAATCACAACATTTGACAGGTGAGATTCTTAGGACTAAAAACAGTAATTTCCAGCCACACCACAGCCTTACAGGTAGCATTGGTAGGGTGCTTATCTGAGTAACAGCAGGATTTTAGTATCTACAATTCTGAATCCTGGAATAACTAAATGTACTAGATGAAAAAGAAATCTCAGATTCCAAATTAAACAAATGGGTAGTTGCTCTCATTGCTACCAAACTAGATTGCTCCTAAGTCAGAAATAAAAAAAGTATTTCCTACAATTAACTTTTTGTAGGACTAGTAAGATACTGGGTTTAGAAACTTTAAAAATTTAAAAAAGTACTCTAGGTCTGTGTATGCAGTCCATTAGGAGAAAATAAGCAACAATGGAAGTTTTAAACTTTAAACTTTTTGCATCTTCAGGGGAATTTTCCCCCTCAAAAATATTTTCCATTCTAATTCAAACTTTTTTTTTTTAATAAATTCAAAGTAATAGAGAAAAAAATTGTTCCTGGTTGGTGTCCAGTAATCTGCAAAAGTCTACACCATGTACCAAACACAAAAAAATGTATGTAAACTAGAAATCATTCAGCAGTTCTTTGGAACTTTCTTTCAAATACCTTTTTTTTTTAAAACAAAACCCAGTGGTGTTGCATCACACATAACTCTTCAGTGCTTCTACCACACGCTAGTCTTATGTCAAGAACTCCATATGCAAAGCATCAAAAAGTGTAACTGCAGATTATTCCACACTCTGCAGACATGCATCCTGCAAGAAGCTATGAAGATTTAGATTACAGCATCAGTATGATTAGAAACATAACCACAGGAATAAAGGAAGGAAGAAACTGTGCCAGTTTTTTGTTATACTTTGGTCATGTAGCGTTATTCCATGCAGATGTTCTGAAAACTCAGCATGCAAGTTACGAAGTTAAAAAAACCAAAAACAACTGAACAACAAACAGCTTTCCCTGAATATTTTTGAACTAAAATATCCAGTAAGACAGAATTGCCAATAGTCTCATAATCTTTTTACTTTTCAAAATTAAAATTCAGTAGTAGTGCATATACATTCAAAAGATATAATAAAGACAGTAACAGATTCTTCACCTCTCAATTTCTTTCTCAATACAGTTAATGCATTAGGAAACAACTGCAGCTGAGACAGCTCACATAAGCCACTGTTCTTGTTCTTTTCTGTACTTCTCAGACCACTTCTGAGTAAGCTCTAGGTAAACATTTGGTTTATGGGGTTTATAATCAAGGTAAACCACCTGCCCAGTCCGTTTAGGGACAGCTTTTTCAATCTGAGTTCCCTCGTGCCATTCATTAAAAGATGTAATGGAAATAATTTCTGGTCGCACCAGAAGGGCTGCACTGAAGGCAGTCTCATAGTACTTCCCATTGACACGGTTCCGAGTGTTGTGGTTGTTCCATGGTCGGATGCTGGTATCAATATAACCTGGCCCCACACTTGGAATGAACATTAAGTTGTTACTATCACAAAAGGCTTTTAAACTTGCCCAATTATGATGAGATGAGCCGTAGGAGAAGCCATTGGTGGCAAAATACGTGTACATTCCGTCAAAACCACTTCTGTGAATGTCATGCTTATGTCTTTCTTCTACAAGAAGTGCAATGAATAATGCATCATAGGGAGTATTTCGAATACTCTGGGATCCAGAGACAGTTAACAGATTTGCCCATATTTCAGGAATTGTTACATAAGAGTCATAAACATAAAACATGGGAAGAAGTCTGCCTGTGCTGGTCTTATGCCTGTAAAAGGCTGGATGGCTTCCATATCTATAAAGCAAACAAGATTGTTAGAACAAAATTTGCCATTTGGAAAACAATGGTGTACAATCGAAGCTGAAGATTTTTCCCAAAAATTAATTTAAAAAACAGGACACAGACTTTGAAACACAGCACATCACATCCATTTTCAGTCCAGTCTCTGCTGAAGTATCAAATAATGACTCTTTAAAGAACCTTTAAACTACTACAAATTAGTAGCTGTCCCGTTTTGCACAGACAGATTTAATGTTTGTAATAGCTGGTCCAGTGATGTGGCTTTTTTTTTTTTATTTAGCATGAGAATAAAACTGATAACACACTGATATTTTGTCTGCTGCTAAGTAGTGCTTACCCTAAGCCAAGGATTTCTCAGTGCCTCCTGCCGTGCCAGTGAGGAGCTGCACAAAAAGCTGTGAGGAAGCAAGGCCAGGACAGTTGACCTGAGCTGGCCAAAGAGACATGCCACACTTCATAATGTCATGCCCATATATAAACTGAAGGAGCTACCTGGAAGGAGACTGAACATTGCCCAGGGCTGGGCACTGCTCTGTAGGTGGTAAGCAATTCATCTTGGGTTCTGTTACTCTCTCTCCTTCTCCCTTCCATTAACATTCTTAATAATACTACTGGCGTACTTATTACAATATTGTTTCAATCATTAAATTGCTCTTATCTCAACCCACAAAGTCTATCTTTGTTCTGATTCTCTTCCGCAGTGCTGGGGGATGAGAAGGGGTTAAACTGGGACAGTAACTTAGTGTCAAACTGCACTATAGTTATCTGTTTCCTATGAAGGGCAATTCTTTTATTCAGGATGAATTAAAGATAGTCTAAGCAGCACTGATAAGCAAAACAAATAGTAGCTGTACAGAATTTGTCAAGATCAATTAAAGTCAGAGGTCAACACAATAAAACTATCTGCTGGTTTGTCACTATCAAAATGTACATTTTATTTAATTTACAGATCATGTTGCTAATCTGAAGTATTTAAAGTATGACTTGTGATACTAAAGAATGTTGAAAGCAATTTAAATTGAGAATCTATGTAAAATTCATATTTCAGTATTTAAAAAACAGACTGAAGCAGCACTGAAATATGAACAAAGTTCCTTTCAGTTCTCTTCAGTCCCAGCAGACATTCTAATATAGAAGTTCATACACAGAAGTCCCCTAAACCAGCAGGTAAGAAACCCCAAGGGAACCATTCTGAAAAAACTCACTTGTCAATGATGTACTTGACATTGTGGTACATGCTGCGATCATCTCTGTCTTTGTAAGGTTCGATATGAAAAGTGACCTGAAAGATGAAAATTTAAGAGCAACACAAACTTAAAACACTACTGAATATATGAGCATTGGGTATTATATGAAGCAAGTACCAGTCACAAAAAATGTAATTCTTTACAGACCAAACATTTCATCAGTCCCTACTGAAAATAATCCAATCCAACCCTAGTACAACTCCTGCACTACTGACATTAGAAGCTTTAGATTCCAGGAAGTTTGGCATTAAATACTTAGGTTTTTTACATTAAAACAGAACACTGCTTTTGTTTACCCTAGACTACAGTAAATGGTAATCATGCTTCAGAAAACTTAAAAAGCTACAAAACCTAAAACTTAAAATAAAATATTATCTATTTGAATGTCCAAGAACGGATAAACTAGTGAAACATTTTAATATTTAATTTCTAACTAATGTATTAAAATCTGCTAAACATAATGCTCCAAGGATAGTTTTCAGAGTCAAAATACATTTTGAAATATGGGAAATGAAAACTTTAATTTAAAATTTTATAGATTTATGAACAGCAACAAGCTCTTAGAACTAAATCTAATATAATATACTGCTATTGCTCTGAATGTCAACTTGGAGCTTATGGAATTGATTAACCAGTATGTGTGAATTCCAACGTAAAAATGAATTTGTTTTCAAATAGACAATCATGGAAGAATACATTACATTAATCAAAGCAACAACTTTTTCAGAAGCAATTTTAGAGCAGAATGTATTTAATAAAATCTTTGACAACTCTGTAACAGCAGAAAATTTCCATTGCAGAGCCAATCTCTCTCTCTATTAAATAGAAACTATAGAAAAATAGTGTTAAGACTAAATCACTAAGGCTGACAGTAGAGGATGAAGAGCACTAGAATTTCATCTTTCAGTTCCAACTATCAAAATCAGGCAAATCAAAAGGGCATATCTTCTCCCAGACTTCTATTTTGCAGACATAACAGAAACTTATTTTGTATATTGGCTTTGGTCTACTGAGACTCCTAACACTTATTGTAATAACTTACTAGTGCAAGAATGCTTAAAAACATTACAGTAAGGTAGCATTTCCTGCAATATGTATACTGATATCTGTATTCCAGTAATTCTTCCAAGTGGTAACAGCAGCTTCATCCACACTGCAACCATTATCATACTATTACACACTACTGTATTTTCCTTGATAGCTTATTTCATTTGGCCTTGACTCCTTTGGGACTTGAATGTTAACAAATTTTTTTAGGTGAGAGCAAACTCTATTCGATGGTCTGAAAGTTCTGGGAAAGGATAACATACTTTTCTGTCTTTTTACAAATTATTAGATAGAGTGTAACCTATGTCATATAATGCAAATCTCACAGTATTTTTAACAGTTTCAAAATGACTTCAAATCTGATTTAATTATCCTGTTTTCCTACTGCTTGCTAAAGAATCTACAGTTAGACCCAGTGACAGGAAATTTCACTGAGAATCTGCAACTTGCATAACCAACTAAAACCTGAGCAGATGAACAGGCTGCGTTTTCAGTACACAGTACAGATAGCACACTCCAGAGATGAAACATGCAGCTACTCAAAAACTCAAATTTATTACTTGGGAGAGATTAAAATGATATAAACATTTTCATTATCAAAGAGGGAAATACAAATTTTACTCTAAAACAAAATCCAAACCACAATTCAATATTCTACTGCTCAATTCATGTAATCTTTAACTGAGTTGGAATTTCACCTATTTTAAGAAGTCAATAACTTAACCTTTCTATTTTGTCATCCTCTTAAGTAACCCTAAAGTCTGAGCAGCATGTCTCTGACCTTACAGTCCAAGGCAAGTGTTTCTGGTACCTTCTGGAATAAAGACATTCATTCAAACTAGATACTCCAAATCTGCCTTTATTCCTCATAGATGTTTGCTCCTGAACTCTATGATCAGGTGCTAGCAAGTTATGAAATAATGCAAAATGAATATAAGTCTTTCTTCTTTCTCAAAGCTCCTTAGTTTATAGCTCACTGTATTTCACAGTATTTTGGAATATGTAATACTTCCCTCAACTCCCAGGACTCACTGAAAAACCACATAATGTTTTATTTTATAAACTGTTTTCTGAAAAGAAATTTAAAAAATAAACATCCACAACACTATACCTTAGATTCTGCATGCTACAGCAGATTACAATATTTATTCTGCTTATAAGGGAATATTATTCAGGTCCTGCCAAAATTCAGGGCAATTCAAAGGCTTCCACGACTAAAAAGAAGCGCAGTATAATAGCAAGGTTTACTTTTCTAATTCGTCCTATTATATGCATCTAGAAATACTTTACCTTTAGGTTATATTTGTGTGCATAGTCCAAAACAATTGGCACTAAATCATCAGTTGGTTCTCCATTTTCATCAGCCATACCTGGTGGGTACCATGAAAGCACTATTACACCTGAAAATACAAAATTTGAGTTTTAAATCGTGTTAACATACTACAAGTATAGTGTAACATTGTAATCAGTTACAATTATTGATGTGAAATCTACCTAAAATAAATCAGAATATCAAATTACTTTTTAATCAGTTACAAAATTTCAGTATTCTCATAGTGGATCTTAACTCCTCTCTTTGTAGGTCTGCAAAACAAACAGTGGTTAGATTATCTATCAAGGGAACAAATCTGTACCCAGTGTACTAAGCCTAACACTTAAGAGCTGTTCCCTCACACTTTTCAGCACAGCATTCCAAGCACCGGGTTATGCAAGAGGAAAAGAGTGCTCCCCCCTAAGGCATTATAGCTACGCCATGATACAGGCAGAGAATATCAAGATAAACAGGTTCTAGAACACTCAAGAGATGAGACCTGTGCATGTGATGGAGATTCTTATCTTATGGAACTCTATTCCCCATCATACTTCTTCATTGTACCTCTGGCTCAAATACAAAACAACCAATTATTACTAGAAGCAGTGACTTCAAATCCCACAACCTTCCTTCTTGCTGGTACAGTTATATGGTGTAATCCACCCTTCCAAGCATGTGAAATTACTTTTTAAATTTATTATCTTCAAAAATGCTTGACTAACTCTCAATAATTTAAGGATGTTACCAGTGCTGCGGAGAAAAAAGACAACAAATAACATATTTTTATATTGTAAATTTTTCTGATGCTCTCCAAGGAAGCAAAATAACACACTCTTCAGAAAGGCTAGACCCTTCTCTTCTAAAATAAAATGGTGTCAGATAAACAGATTAGATCTTTTAGATGTGCAGCTGGAAACAATATCAAAAAGAAGCTAAGTCTGAAAGAAATACATGAAATACTGATTTAGAAATATATTGCTGGTAATGCTATTTAGAACATATAGAAGAATAAGTCAATGCGGTTCTTTTTAACTAGGTAATGATTTCCGTAAATTAAAAAATTCACTGAAGTAGGGAAGTATACAGTCTAAATTCCACCTACTTTACTAACATTACAACTTTTCTGACCAACAGTTCTCAACAAAAAATTCCAAAATTACGAAAAAGAAACCAAAAATTACAGTGATTATGTAATCACACAAATATCCAAACCAGAAATTTGCACTCACAGAAGGGAGTTCAACTACCCTTAGGCACATTCTCTCTGCATTTTATCAAAAAGAAAATGACAAATAACAGTCTGCTCAAGGAAAGCAAAATGCAAAATTGTACTGCATTTTATCAATTATCTTTTATTTCACACGAAAGAAAAGGACTAAATGCAAATGAGTAAGGCATAAAGGACAAGCAGAACAGCAAAAAAATCTGCGTATCTTGAATACATCTGACAAGACCCTCTTTTACATCTTTAGGAAATACATAAAAGTTCAGGAGACAGAATTGTTGATCAAAGACCCTAAATTCACATTTGCATTGGTCTTTTCCTGAGAAAGACTACTATACGTTTTCTTTTTTTCTTTCCTGTGGTTAAAAAATAAAGTTATGTACCACTTCAAGAGTCTAAAAAAAAGGATTAAAAAAAAAGGATGGACTTGACACTAAAAACAGTGTCATAAATGTTTAAAAACAGAATAGTCACTAAAAAAAATGTACTATTACAAAAAAAAAAACCCTGGTGTAAAAAAATAAATTTCCCCAAGCAATCTCATGAATAAAATTTACTGTATTAATCTGCAAAATATTAGGAAATTAATTCATAAGAATAGTAAAGTATAAGAAGAATACAAGGAAGCACTGCATGAGACTCCTGTAGCCCCAATCTCTTATATACCTTCAATCATTAGACAATATTTGCTGAAAGAACCACTTACATTTTTCTTTTTTCATAAAATCTTGATAAAGCTCAAAAATGGCTAGAAAAAATGATTATGTGACTGTAAAATACTCATGGATGAGACACTGGCTAAGAGAGAAAAAGGAGAAACTAAATAGTCAGCCTCACAGTACACAAAAAATGAACCAAGTATAATTCTTTAAAAAAAAAGTTGATGAATAATGTTAGTCACATCTAGATGGAAGAGAACAAATTCAATTGTACTTAAATCCTTAAGTCGGGATAACAGCAGGATGAAAGTGACTCAGTTATGTTACCAAGAGTGTCACAGGAAGCCTGAACTACTCATTCACATTGCTGAGTTTTAAATGGAAAACTAACTGAAGTTACGAAAAAACTTGATTATGCAAAGCATTATTCCTAGTAATTGGCACGTTTTCCACCAGCAGTTCAACTTTCTTAGACATCTGTATTAAGAGGATGAGAAACACCACATGTTCTTCTAAAGCTGCAAGAGTCCTCCTTGCCTTCATCACACCATCATACATGATTTTGTTTTAGATAAGACTCAAACAGGGCTTACTGGCAACTTATATCTGAGATGTCTCTGCAACAGTCTCGTTATGATGGAGTTATATTACTGAAGAGGGTGAGAGATTTCCTATGTTTGTATTAACCCTTGTACAAATAAATGTTAAGTCAAAACCCTCAAGATGACAACAATCAAGAAGTAAACACTAGACAAGTAAACATCACTAATCAAAATATAACAATTACATTAAACCTTAATGATTAGGTGAATGAAGGAGATTCAATACAAAGGGATTAGCAGTATCAGTAATGATATGAGCTTTGGTTATGTTGCTCTAACTACATTTATAGAAGCTGTTTAGAGTTTAATATTAGCCTATATGACTGCTTATTTTAAAGAGGATTAACATAAAAAGGACCATAAAGCCCAACAACTAGGAATGACACAAAAAAATATATTGAAATATTCTTATGTATACAGTTCAACTTATTTAGAAAAAGGGAACATAAACTTCTATTGAAAGATACTTTTGGACATTAATGAATTAATACATAATTGTTATTGCACACAGAGCATTCAGAGAAAAAACCTCCACTCATATTTGAACAGACTGCTCCTTAACCATGCTAACATGATTTACTGCAACCTGTTCTTTAAATTGAAGTATTCATCTCCAAAAATAAAATACACAGGCAATATAATCTAGTCAAAGTTTCTATATTTTCATTTATGTTATCAGTGTTTAGCAGTAAGTTATGAAAAACATGTACCTACAGTATTACAAACACCATTCTTATGTTTCTGTGCTATTACGCTCATCAGACACAGCTTTGAAGAAGTAGGTTTCAGCTGGGGGTTAAAACTCAGAGATATAAAGACATTTACTAGTTTCAAACATTCCCTGAATTACACAGAAAAACAGAAGGATAGATCAGTTGTGCTCATTCACATATGTAAGGCTGGATAAATGAACAACATGCTGAAATGCTAACATTCATTACCAGTTGAAGCTGAACGCATTTGTTTCATGTGGGCTTCTATGACAGTAGGGTCTTTGGAACTGTAAGATCCAAGTTCTGGATAAAAGTTGGCCCCAATGTCCTCAGGAGGATTATGCCTTCCCTTTGGATAATTGTTTGCAATTTTGGGATCCCAATGTGGCAACAACGGGTGGTTCCAGTGAATGTATTTACCATCAAACTGTGGATTCCCATACCAAGTATAGTAGAATATGTGAAAGTTGTAATTAGGAGAAGACAGCTCCTCTTCCAGCTTTCTTACAGAAGACATAGATGCTTTCATAGTATTGACAGCAATACTATGCAAATTACTGGCACGTGTTACAGTATCTCCTTGAGCCCTATTCAGAGAATTCTGTTTACTGTCTAAGAGCACTGTCCGTTGTTGAAGCTCTGGCAACAAACCAAGTCCAAATGGATCCCCAAAGCCAGCTCTGTCAGGTCTCAGGGTCTTCAAAGCCATCATTATAGAGCAAATAAACAAAATAAAAAGCAACAAAATGATGCATGTTCTTCTGCGAAATCTTGCCATGATGTCATAGTTCAGAATCCCAACAGAAGGATTTTGGCTGTAACTGATCAAAAGACAAATATTTTCAAGTCAGATTTCTTATTACCTTGTATTCAGCAGAATGAAATGCTTCATAAAATCTCTACATAATAACACAGACAAATGTGATGCATACACTGACCGCAGAACTAACAGACTTTGTGGAGGGTGGGGTACACAAGCAAGACCCCATTTTTTTCTCTGAGAACATGTGTCACATTCTGAGGTTCTACCACCAAGGACTCAAATATTTTATAAAGTATTTTAGTTTTGAACTTAATTTTTATCCTAACCCAGATAAATCCCATGAAATGGAAATTCTGGTTACACTATTTCAGAACTATTGTGTTTTAGAAGTGCTGTTCAGGTAGAAATAGTAAAGAAAACAAAAGAAAAAAGCAGAAGCCATGAAAGGAGAATAACATAGCAGAACAAGAGTAAAAAACAAAATGGGGTATGACAGAACTACAACTTATGTTGAGAATGCAGGCTTATTTACTAACCTATTTACTGGCTTCAGACCAACCACTTTGTGTTCTGTTAAGCAATATATTAACAAAATACTCCAGCAAATTAAATCTGAAACCATGATGCTTTCAGCATTTTCAACTTTACAGATCTAGTTTTTTTTAAATTCTGAATCATGCAAGGAAAAAACAGCATAGCATTAAGGATGTACCTCAAGCAGAAAGCCTGCAAGTTAGCTGCTGGCAGCCAGTTCATACAATGTCACAGCTGCCTGACACTTCATGTAGTATTCCAGGGCTAAATTCAAAACAAGACCAATGGTATACAGCAAGATTTGAACCATGAAAGTAGGGGGGAAAAAATCAGTATAATGGAAGGCCTGATTACTTTATTTATAACTTTAATTCCTGTACAACATTATCACAAGGGAACCAGAAAAAAGGATTAACAAAATTTAGGTTACCACAGAATTACGTGGAACAAGATTATGCATAAAACTGACAACACCAAACTGGAAAACCTATGAATAAATTTCTGATACATGAGTCATTAGACATAGCATAGCTGTGATTTGCATTTCTGTCACTGACCTCCAAATTCTAGAATCTTATTTTAATTTACTGAGATACACAGGTAATTTCAAAATACTTATAAATTATTTGACCTTAGTTTCCTACCAATGTTATAGTGCATAAACATAGAGCTCAGTTGTCACAATATGCTGCTTGCTACTGCTATGATAATTTTAGATAAGCAATTTTAGAATATGCTTTTTAACAATACAGCCTGAATTGGATTAGGAGTTACACTGCCAGAAAGGGAACTTCTGCTTCCATTTTCAATATTAATCCACTCATCCTACTGTCTATTCTTTCTTCTGGGATTCATTTAGTTTTCACAGTAAGGTCATGCATTTACTTTTAAATTTAAAACCCAGTTAACGTTTTAAAAAATGAAAATCCCAATGCACTTCTACCTTGTTAGAGAGTGGAGTCAGTTGAATGAGTATCACTGCACTAAAGCCAACAAAGAACTGATGGAGCAAGGCAAGACTATGAAAATGATGCTGTTCATTTTGCCCAACTGGATTCTGAAACCATACGTCTGGCTACTGTCAAGGAAAATGATTCTACAGCATACATACTTAGAGGATTTCATATCACTTTACATCAAATTACAGGGTTCTTTTTCTATGGCTAACAATCCATCCCATGATTTTGGAATTCTGTCAGAGATTGTTTGGAGTACAGAACATCTTAATAAGAAATTAAATACACTCAAACTGCTCCTGTTATTTTTCATTACCTTTTTAGTCTTCTTTCTAGTATATTATGCTACCCCTACCTGGTAATTTAACTCGATTTTCAGATTAGATAAACTGAAGTTTTCTGAAAGTTTAGTATTTTTTTTAGGGAAACGGTATTATTCATCTGACCAACGCATTACTGCATTCCATTTAATTTAACCCAGATGCCACTGATCTTCATTAAACAACACACAGGACTGCCAGAGATAAACTACCTCTGCAATTATTTTATCTCTTCTGTGAAGAATTCACGACTGCAATGTCTATAATTGGAATGCTGACAAGGTTTTTCATTTGGGTTTTCCTATGTCATATCAAAGAAGCTCTTCCTTTTTATTCTCAGTTGACCTATCAGCTACTCAATTCCTAGAGTCTAGATCAAGACTTCACTATCATGAAATTATTTGTCTCAAGTCTCTGCAATTGATCTTGGTACTCCACGTTATTATTTCAACAAGTATTTTTTCAATGGAATATTCACCATTGAAGTATACTAAAAAATGAGCAGCGTGCTTACTAGCATTTGACTAGAACTGAGACAGACCTTGGTCTACCATACTGTATTATGAACTTCTGCTATACTTATACAGAGGCTCAGCATCAAAGTGCAAAATTTCTAGAACAAGTATGTGTTATCTATGGTAAAGGCTTTTTTGGGGGGGGGAGCCATCAGTCTCAATGATGACAACTTAATTCAGACCTGGCACAGACACCTGTATTGTAAAAGCTGCATCGAGGAGCTACAGGTTGGCAGCACTTTATGTGTCATTTAATCTTGTTCAGATCTACTTTGCAGAGACAGTGACAGATAAATTACCCTCATCAATGCTAGTGCCACAGCAGAACTGCAATACTGGGACACAGACGAGCAAACATACCTGTGAAACAGCTACATCAAGTTATGTTTATTCTTGGAAGTGGAAAAACCTTAATAATACATTTCTGATTCAACAGTCATTAGACAAAGCATAGCTGTGATTTTGCGTTTGTCGTGGACATTCAAATGTTAGAGTCTGACTACCATTTACTGAGGTACATGTCACTCCTATAGACTTAGGAAGTATCTGGCCTTGAACTTCTGGGTGCACTTGGATCTAACAGCAGTTGACCTTCTCAGTAGGAAAAAGTCAGGCTGAATAACTTCAGCTTTATGAAGGTTAGGATCTTACATGCAGTTACCCTGATTTGGAAGCTTTTGGATTGAAACTCCGAGTTTGTTGACACATACGGGTATACCAGACAAAAACGTAAGCAGTTTGGGCTCTTTGTCTTGTCTACTCAATAAATTTTAAAAGAAGGAAAAAGCCATCTGAAACAGGTCAGAGTTTATCCTTTAATGAATACAGATAGTAACTGTCTTCAAAACATTAGAAATATACGAAGCTTTACCAGGAAAAGTTAAAACCTGTATTTCCTCAACATCCAGTTCCCTTCTCAAAAAACCCCAAAAGATTTGAAACAGTTGTTTTACTTTTTAGTTTGTAAGCCACTATATAGAACTAAAAGCACAAAATTACATGTAAATCTATCCCATTATGATCATCTCCGTTCCAAATTAATTTGGCTTTTTTGGTAATAAATAGCATGGAATTTATCACAATAGGCAAAATTTCCAGCCATTCTTCTTAGAACAACTCCTCCATTAAGAAAGAAAAGGGTCTATGAAAAAATCTGAAGTATTTTCCTAACTGTTCTGCAAACTTAATTGAATGTCTCAAGCTCTTACGTGACAGTGATTTTTTTTCCTCTCCCTCACTACTGCTTCTATACTCTTAAGTTACTTTGCAGGGAAACCTTCTGTTTGTCCTTTCCACTATATGAAGAAAAAGCAATTTAAAAAAAGTGGTTGAAAGGGGTGATGATGCTTAACTACTCGAGATAATTTTGGTCAGGCAACTCAGGTTTCAGTGCCCTGCCTAGTAGGTTGCTTTTTTCAGTTTTACAAATTCCAAAAGAGAAGTACACTATGAAAATAAATTAGGTTCAGTTAAAACAGATTTATCTAATTTAGGAAGAATCAGAAAATACTGTAATTTATTTATTTTGATGTTCCTTAACCATAACAAATGGAAATGCAACATAGGGGAGAGCTCTGAAAGTATGATTTTATTGATCAAGGGTAAGGTCACCAAGAAAAAATTGAGGCTGGTAACTCATGGATGGGATCAAAGCTTCCCAGCTAAATTATCTAAGCCTAGTTTCAAAAAAGTTTTCCCAGCCCAAAGAAACTGAAAACTCTGAAGTTACAGATCAGCTCTAGATAGAACTGAAGCTCCTAGGCCTTAAAGCCCTCCCTGATTCTGGAGCTACAGTGCAGATGTGCACATAGAAACATTAATTCAGTTTCCAAGTGATTGATCAGGTGAGGTTTATTAAACTGAGAACCGGTAAGAGTGTTAAAAGCACCACATTTACATAACACATTCTGATCTGGAGATCACAAAGAATAAAAAGCAATAGAGGATGACCATATGTGTGGAAACCTCGTGAGTGTTTCTAATATTAGAAAAAATCTAATTTCTCAAAAAATCTCTGTATATTAAAAGATTTTTTCTAAAGCTTTTTAAAAAATAGCTTGAAAATCATTGAAGATGTAAGAAGACATTAGGTATGGCATGCAGCTGTGAACACAGGTGTGTTACATGCTAAAAAGGCATCTTTTTAAACACTTTCAGTAACATAAGATTTCTTTTTGGTCTACCCAATTTAGAAAATGTGATTTGAATATAAGAAAGCAGCAGTAACAAAACACAATCCTCTGGATTCTTTGCTGTAAACGTGGTAAGCGAGCCTCCAGCATTACAGTATTTGCCTTCCATATGCCAGCCTTCTCTGCTTCGGAAGGCCATGGAAACACACACACCTAATTCTGGGCGGCTGCAGGCCATGAGAAGAAAGCGACCTTTAGCCAGTCCTCACCGGGTGCTCCCCGGGGCACACTGCTCAGAGCCAGGCTGCTTGACAGGACGGGGAGCAGACCCAGCTCGCTGCGCTGCTGCCATGCCCCGAGCAAGCCGCCGAGCTCCGAGCGTTCACACTTCTCTCCCACTCTGCGCACCCAAGCGCCAGCCCCGCCACCAGAGCAGCATCAGCCGCGGGCGGGAGGCGCGCCGAGGCTTCCGCAGGCGAGAGGAGGGACGGCACCGCCCGGGGGCCGCCGCGACCCCTCTGACAGCAGCGGCGGGCGGGGGCGTGCGCCGTCCCCTGCTCTCCCGGCCTCTCCCAGCCCCGAGGAGCCCCTCCCCGGTGCCCGTGCCCGGGGCCAGGGCCGTTACTCACCCGCGGGAGGCAGGGCCGCTGCCGGCGGGCGCGCGCAGGGGCTGCCCCTACCGGAGCCGCGCGCGCCGGGCCGGGGCCGCGCGGGCTGCGCCGGGGCGGGGCGGGGCGGCGCGTGCGCCGGGCGGGGGCGCATGCGCGGGGCGGGCGGCGGCGGCCGGGCCCCGTTATCCTGCGGGGGCAGCAGTGCAGCGCTGCTGGCCTTCCGCCGGGAGCCACAGAGCTTCGCGGCTGCTGGAAGACCAGGGGCGAAAGTGATAAAAAAATATTTCCATTCTCTGAAAGCCCTTTCTGGATTGTTGGTTGCTTTTCAGCGGCGAAATGGTAGTCACAGAATCACTTTCGTTTGAGGTCATCGGCTCCAAGCTGTGACCGAACACTTCCCTGTCAACCAGATCGTGGCACTGATTGCCACATCCAGTCTCCTTCAACACGTCCAGGGATAGTGGCTCCACCAGCTCCACGGGCAGTTCTTTCCAATGCCTAATCACCCTTTGTGAAGAAACGCCTCCTAATGTCCAGCCTGACTCTCCCTTCGTGCTGCTTAGCGCATATGTCACCGTGTCACTGGTTGCCCTGGAGAAGGTGACCTCCCCTCTGGCTACACCTTCCTTTCCCCCCGGAGCCTTCTCCCGGCTAAACAATCCCAGCTCCCTCAGCTGCTCCTCATGGAACATGTGCTGCTCCTCATGGAACATGTGCTTCAGGCCTTACCCCTGCTGTGGTGCCCTTCTCTAGACTGATGCCCAAACCGGGCGAGAAAATAAAGCTCTGTAGTCAGATGGCTACAGAGCAGGTGTTTGTTTATTCAGTGCTGGGAGTGAGGGGGATCTTTCCACCAAAAACTCAATCCTCTTTAGTTTTCAGTTACGTTTTAAAAGTTATCAAATGCAAATTATCACAATTACAAAATAACATACTCACATTTGCATAAAGCTATGTCATGGTTTTATAACAGATTTTAGTTTCTGCACATGCAGAAATTTTCTTCTGTTCCTTCTGTGGAGGTCAACAGTCTTCTGGTGGTCTTTTGATGAAGGCTTCTGTAGTCTTCCTCATGTCTGAACTTTTCATCTCTATTTTCAGTGCATGCCTGGTGCTTCTTGTTTTTCAGCCTAACTTGTTTTTAGCTAATTTTGTAGTTTGCATGTTCCATTAAAACTTGCTATTTTGCTCTTGATGGCGCTTGTTACTTGACTGGCTTTGTTATCTTGCTTACTTTGCTACCTTGCTTGCTTTACTTGCACATCTTGTTGCAATGTTACTTGTGGTTAACCTTTTATTACCTATCACTTAGGATTCAAGGCAGAGATGGGCAAGTAATGGCTGGATAAAGCCTGGAGCATGAATCTGTGTGCCACGTTATGTATGCCACCTCTGCACCCTAAGAGTGGATTTTAAATTTTACATTAGAGTAGGGTGTTCAATACATTGATACTTTGAGAAAGTCAGTGTGCTGGGGGAATTGCCCATCCTTATACCCTGTCGGCTATATGGTCATAAATCAGGAAAAAAATATGTGGCTAGAAGTTCAATAAATAATCCTGTTATGTAGTCATTTTGTATTTACATATAATTCCAGTGTTGTAAAAATGTTTTGACTGATCTTTCATATGCTAGCATTTCATGTGTCCTTTATTCTTTTCTCCTAAGCAGTGAAAATGGGCTATGGATTGTTGCTGTAATGCAATAAATAACCAAATCAATGAAAGAAATATATTCTCATTGTCAACTGTAACAGCAGAATTGTGAACAGAACACTTGTGTATGAACACTGCATATTGATTCAATGCAAATTGTTGAACTAGGTAAACATCACCATCTTCCCTTTGAATCAAAATATTTCTTCCCTCTGCCATATGAAAAATGACTGTAATTAATTGATTCCTGTGGTGTAGTTTGCCTGATTTTTTGTTACAAATCTCTCTAAGCCGTGAGAGAGAGTACAAACATTGATCAGAAATGTGGTTTCATTGAAATCAATAGCAAAAGTCTCATTGATTTCAGCGGACTGGATTTTACCTCCTATGTGAATGAAAAGAATGAGTGGAATGAGTGTCTCATACTGTAGATATAAACAAGTAAATTCAATAGCTCCTATGGTTCCCTTTGAATTCTGAGAAAATTGAAGGAATTGTGGCATGATGTTTTCTTTATGCTGTCTGAGTGATCCTATGGGGAAAATATTTGCAGTAATTGTAATTTCTAATATTTATTCCATGTATCTGAAAAATTTCACTAATGGAGTGTGTTGTGATTCAGAAATGTCATGCTTTAATAACAGATTAGTTGGTATATGAATAGTCGGGGATCAAACCTTGATATCTGTTCTATTTCCTCACAGTATCCCCAATTTTTTCTTTCCTTCCTTGCTTCTTTCTTTCAAAAGAAAAGGTGTTGTAGGGATGGTCTTTGCTTCTATTTTATGGTGGACATAACTTTAATTTTCACTTTCTCTTTACCATGTGGAAGAACTTCTACTGGAACTAAGAAAATTTGTTTGAAAATAAGATACTTAGAAAGTTAAAGAATGCAAAAAGTAAATCTGAAGCATTTGATGATGTTGAGTATGTGAGTATTATGAGTATATGTTTACTAGGCTAAAAGTATAATAATATTAGAGAATAAGCAAGAAAAACTCATTTAAATGAGAAGGAAAAAACCCTAAAAGTTGTGCCATTATTTTTGCTGATTAGATTGAATCTACTGGTTAAGATTTCAGAAAGCAGCAAAAGGAAAGTTGTATCACACCTTCCTCCAAGCCTTTTTGAGCAGTAACGAAATGAAGTAATTATACTCAAAGTTTAGGTGGAACAAGGGGTGTTAATATGATTGTGGTAATATAACTGATTAACTTTCTTTTTAAATGTTTTGCTTTATTTTTCCTCCTTGGTCTTGTGATTGCTAATTTTTTTCCTGTGTAAGGTCAAGATGTACTTTTCTTCTGGTATTCTCTTTCTTAGCTTCCATTATTTTCTCCTCCATTATATCTGGTGTCTTCTCAGTTGTACTCTATTTTTAGATATAATGGCTGTGATACACTGTGCTGGCTTCAGAACAAACACAGAAGAGGGAATAGTCTGTGTATGTAGCGTTTCCTTCTATTTTCAATAGTCCTATCTGTCTCCAAATCATGAATCTCACTATTTTCCCTCTGGTAGTCATTCTTAAACCAGAGCTCCTCTTTCAAAGTTTCATGAATCTCTGCCACTTTATCTTATACATAGCCATCTCTTTGAATTTTTTCTTTCCGGAGCCTCTTACTGATGCATCCCATATTTTTCCTGAGCAGAAGCTAAAGACAGCCTTTCTTTTATGCTACAAAAAAACAGTGGCAAAGTGATGGTCCATTTTTCATTAGAAGTTTTCAGTAGCAGGAAAAATACAGTAGCAGTTTGGCTCAATTTTGGATAACTACTCTTGCTTCTTTACAAATCTCAAAAGATAACTTTGAAACAGTAAAGTCTGGCTGCACAGACAATTTAGAGCAATGAAAGCTTTGATTATTTGACTTCAGTTATTCACAGATGGATTACCTGGCTGCCATCCTAGGACA